ACAGTGAATGTTTTCCCTCTTTTGCATTTTAAACCCTGTAACCACCATGTGGTTCAAAATGCCTTAGATCACCCACACTCAAGAAGGACAACATACAGGTAGACTTTTCAATTCTTGGAAAAGGAAAAGCTGGAATGAAAATACTTACTAAAGCAGGTTGGCAACTGGGACCAGCCACCCTCACCACACACCATGGAACCCTTGGTGCTTCCATCTCTGTTTTCGTAGCCATCTAGGCATTGGTAGTCCAACGTGTCATTGAGTCGAAATGGTCTTCCGGTGATTACGGCTCTGGCATTCTCAAATATGGGCATGTCACAGTGTTCTAAAGCAAAATAAAGGTGGCCATTGTGTTTCTAATGCTGTATCAAGCCCCATCTAAGAAAGAGAATCTCATTAATTTGTGTGGGTAAGTGACGCATCAGGTGACAACTCTCTGAGTCCCTGTTACTCTGGCCTGGATGAGTTATAGAACAAGAAGAATAGATTTCCTTACCCATCCTTTCTCCTACCATTCAAGACCTCTAAATATAGCTTAGGAGCCTTTCATCTGACCTATTATTAACTGTGAGTATGTCACTGTCTGTTACTAAATTACACTGCTAGATTGATAGGATGCTATCCCGTGAAGGACAAAGCCATTTGTGAATGTAAGAGGGAATGTAGGTATTTACGTGCCAAACATACTAACACCAAGAGTGTGTGTGTGTTAGAGAAAGACCATAGTCCTAGGATACATGGTCCATGTATTTATATAAAGACCCTCTCCTCCATAATGACTCCTAGAATAGAAAATTTATCCACATTGAGTATAAAAATGAATGGCAAAGGGTACAGCTTTTTCACTAAAGGGAGACCCTGAAATGAAAAACAATGTTTAAAAATGTAAGAAGTGGTATCTCCTGGTGTTCTTTTAAGTCAATAATCCCACCTTCTATCGCATATGGTTTAGTTTTTTCTTGAAAACAGTCTTATTTTTTAATATCTGTAACTGTTCTTAGTCCTCAATGGTTACTGAGTGAATTAATGGTAAGTATTTCAACCCGTGAACCGGGTGTAGGGGAAGCTGGACAAAGAGGGTCCTTTAGGGGCTCAGGCTGTTGTTTCCCACGGGCTCAGTAGATTCCTGAATTCCCAGTTCAAGTCAGTGATCACTGCTTTTCTAAAACATGCAGGGCTCCAACGAAAGGTCAGCTCTACTCTATCCTGATGTATAAACAATGTCTGTAACAATTATCCGTTCATTTCTAAACAACACACACAAAACAACGTACAGAATCCTGTCTATTTAACATGTGAAAGCCAGATGTGACTA